AGTCATTTTATTCTTTCAAATACTAGTTGTTTCTTTCTCTAGTCTCCAGACCGCCAGTCTGTCTCCTCTGTCTGTGTCCAACATTAAAATTGGTGCAGAACAATGTCTGGATRGAAAACACTGTTTATTTCTGCCTTTTCTCTCTTTGAGATTTGAGTCTTTTATGATACTCCCCCCATTTTATTATATTTTTTTCAAAACATAGAAGAATGTATTAGAGTTCTCTGGAGGAACAGAATCAATAGGAAGTATGAATATAGAAAGGGAATTTATTAGGTTGGCTTACACAACCAGAAGCTGGATAGTCCACAATGGCCATCTGCAGGCTGGAGAGCTGGAGGAACCAGTAGCTGTGCGGTCCAAGTAACTGAAGTCTCAGAGCAAGAGGAATCAACAGTGCTAYCCCAGTCAGAGACTGGAGGCTTCTGGAACCTCCCAGGAGAATCACTGGCAGAATCTGCTTTGGAAGAGTGAAGGAGGGAGACTCTGATGTCCTCAGGCCATCACAACAGCACTCACGAGCCCGCTGAAGGAGAATCAAGCTTGYGTCTGCTAAACATCTCGAAATTCTTCCCACAATTCTAAAAAGCTCAAAAAGCTTTTGAACCATATGGTCAGGTTAGTCACAGCCACAACCCCACTTCTTGGTACCAATTTCTGTTGTAGTCAGCTTTTTTTGCTGCTATGACTAAAGGATCTGACGAGAACAATTTTAGAGAAGAAAAGTTTATTTGARGGGCTCATGGTTTCAGAGGTCTCAATCCATAGACAGCTGGCTTTATTCCTCAGGGTTAAAGGTGAGGCAGAACAACATGGCGGAAGAGTGTGGCACAGGGAAGCAGCTCACATGAGGATCAGAAAGCAGAGAGAGACTCCACTCTCCAGATACAAAATATATACCCCGTAGCCACACCCCCAATGAACCACTTCCTCCAGCCACACCCCGCCTGCCTCCAGCCACCACTGGAGGATTCATTCACTGATTAGGTTAAGGCTAGAGCCCAATCATTTCTTCTCTGAACTTTCTTGCATTGTCTCACACAGGGGCACCACATCTAATCCATAACAAAGAACTTAAAGAATCTCAGAGGAAATACCCACATATCTACCACTTAGATTTCACAATTACCCAGTTTGCTTTATTTGCACATCTCTCCACAAATGCGTCAATCCATCTGTCTTCATTCATTTTTTGAGGCATTTCAAAGTTGCAGATTCAYGACGACTTAATGATGTCTTATCCCTTAACACTTTCTTTTTTTTAATTGATTTTATTTTTTTAAATACATGGCAGCAGAATGCATTACAATTCTTATAACACATACAGAGCACAATTTTTTCATATCTTTGTATATAAAGTATGTTCATGCCAATTCATGCTTTATACATGTACTTTTTTTTGCATTACAATTCTTATTAACACTTTCTTTTTCCTTTTTAACTTCAGATTTTTTTAAATAAAGCTTTGCCAACCTTGTTTGAAGTTGCCCTATTTCCTCTGCTTGCTCAAACTTGAATATTTGTACCTTTTAAAAATCACAGAATTCAGTATATTTGCCCCCTTGCATAGATCCTGGGTGCCCACGCTTTCTCCATTTTACTCCTTCATTTTTCTATTACTTCCTTTCTTATCTCTTCACTCACCACAACTTTTCATTTTGCCTTCCCTTCTCTCTTTCAGCTCCCCAGCAGATAATTTTAAAACTAAACAACAGCTGAACAATATCCCCACTGTTCCGCCTGCCTGGGTATGCGCAGCACGTCCGTGCTTGCCCAGAACAGAAGGAAAACACAATTTCTTCCATTTTATTTCTTTGCATCAAAAGTGATTAAATCTGTCTGCATGACCTTCATACATCAGACCACTTGGCTATCTTAAAAGTCTGTTTAATAGAGTAAGTCAGGCTGCATTCCCTTTGTAGAAAAAAAAAAAAAATCTTTACCACTAAATAGGGCGGTAAAAGCCAAGGGAACAATGCATCTTTTGTGGGTGGAAAGAGAAACTGGCATCCTACAATTGCTGGATTGTTTAAATTATTATACGGCAATTCATGCTAGTTACATATTTGCATTGTTGTACAAGTATTTTTCTTATTTTGATTAAAGATGGCTTTTTGAAGGATCTGCTCTTGCAACACAGATTAAAAGACTCTATTGCAAGATATAGTACATTCCATTTTGTTACCCTGGACAGCAGTGTTTCAATTTTTTTTCCATAAAAGCCTATCAAGCACGGAGATAAAAGACTGTAAATAATCTCCAGCAACTTAGGCACCATTATGTTTTATTTACTAACAGCTATAATAGAACTTTCTATAAAAACCTTCAAGAGCATTTTTCTTTTTGAGCATCAGTTTCACAACCATCTTTCCAACCTTAGCCAGGACTATAAAGCTGAATTACCTATTTTTATGAAGTGGGGGGAGGAAAGGAAAGGAAAATTTTCATAATAAAATTTCTGCTTTCTTAAATGAAGAGCAATTGTCCAGCATTGTACTAGCCGTTCCTACTTTTAGATGTCTGACTCCTTGCACATGAGTTTTCTTGCTTTGATGAATGAAAGTTGAATAGTGAATTCATTCATTCTTTAACCTAGCATTTCATTGATCTTTTGCTCCTTACAAGGCACTTGATTGGGCAGTGGAAACAGAAAAGAGAAAGAGAGGTATGCACTCTCTCTTCAGTTTGTAAGTCCGTCGGGGAGTCAGATGCCTGGTCCTGTAGTTATGTTACAGCATGAGGTGCTATGATGGGGATGGGCAGAGAGCCAGGGGAGAGTGCACCCCAAAAGGAAGAGGGCAAGAATGCTTCCTGGGGGCGTCTTAAACACATGGGAGTCAGCTGATTGGAGCAGACATGAATTAAGACATTGGAGAAGACATCAATTATTGTTAAGCAATAAGCCACCTGGCACAAAAGGACATCATCAAAAGAGGAATTCTGTTGGCTCATGCACCKCAAGGTCCAGGGGATTTGGACCTCTGCAGAAGGACCTCTGCATCCAGGGCCTAGTATGCTGTCATCAGGAGTCCACCACTGTGGTCTGCCAGCAGCATCGCCTTTCTCCTTTGTTGGCAGAACCCCAAGTTTGTTCACTCTCCTTGGAGCCACTTTGTCCTGCAAACGCGGCTGAGCCCCGCTGCAACTTCTGCCACATCCTATTTCCAGATAAGGTCATGTTCTGAGATCCTAGGGGTCAAGACTTAACATAGGAGGGGTTTTTGTTGTTGTTTTGTTTTTTGGGGGGTGCATAATTTAACCTCATCTTTCTCTTCTCCTCCCTGATCTCCTGCTGATAGCTCCCATTTGCTGGGCCCAGGGGAGGTAACATCCTCCTCCTGACACAGTACAGGGCGGAGAAGGGTGAGGCTGGAGGGGCAAAGAAAATTCCCAGAACACCTTGTATTGCCTTCATTCTTGGGAAGAATCCCTGTGCTTTGCAACCAACACCTACCTCTAGACTTGATTCTTGGGCCCTGYTGTCTTAAAAGAAGGAGGAAAGACCTTCTATCTCCCAGTTTCCATGGCAGTTCTCTACAAGGAATTGATGGGCTCTGTTTGGGTCACAAGAAGAGACCTTAGATGGAAACAGAAGCAAGATGCTCGGTGCTCCGCCCATGCCCTTCAGCAAGACTTCTTTGTTCTGGCTAGCTGGCTGTCATCGAGGAGCACTTTCAGTTGCTTGAGTGAAAACTCAAGGACGCAGGTAACAAACCAAATAAAGTTTACTTTTCCTTACGTATCAAGATGCCTGGAGAGTGGCAGGCCCAGGCTGGACGTCAGCAAAGGTTCCAGCTTCTCCCTCTCCCTGCCCCACCATCCATTGCATGTGACTTTGGTCTCATGGCTAAAAGGTGCTACCCCCACTCCCAGCTCTACATCTGAGTTCCCAACTGGAGAAAGGAGATGGACACGTCAAGGAATTCTGGGCAGCAAAAATCAGGAAAGCAGTATTTTCTCAGCTATCTCTAGGATGTGTCCATCAGCAGCCCTGAGACACGAAGCTGTCTCTTGCTWCTTGGGAGCCTGAGAAATGTTGTTTTTGGCTGCATTAGTTGCCATTTGGTAGCAATCAGGTTTCTGTTAATAAGGACAAAGAGGAAAGTGGTATTAGGTGGACAGCTAGCGAGTTGGCTGTACTAGCTAATAGTACTCACGTGCTTGGCTTCCATGTTTGATTTGGTTGTTACTTATTTTTTTACTTTTTGACTTCCACCTTTGAAGGTGACACCTAGACCTGAAGTACTGCTGTTCTGAAGAGTTAAATGGACTGGTGTTGGGGGGTGTGCTAAATAATACAGTTAAAGTCATGTACGTTTTAGTCAATAGCCCAATGGCCAACCACATTTACGATGCTGGTCCCATAAGATTATACCACCTAATGTCATAGTAGCTGCCTTAGTGTGTGAAAGCACACTCTGAGGTTTGCWCAACAATGAAATCACTTAATGCATTTGTCAGAACTTAACCTGTTTATGTTATTGTTTGCATGAATAAATTTAAAAGAGAAAATCAAGGCCTAGATTTATTTTTATTTTCATTTTTGGCAATGGAGATTGAACCCAGGGGCTCTAGCCCTTTTTATTTTTTATTTGGAGAAAGGGTCTTGTTAAATTGCTTAGGGCCTCACTAAGTTGGTGAGGCTGGCTTTGAACCTGCAGTCCTCCTGCCTCAGCCTCCTGAGACACTGGGATCATGCCCTCAATTTAAAAAATTAAATCTTTCCGAGCCCCTACTGTGTGCTTTGTCCTTTATTAGTCCCTAGYGTCAGAAAATATGCTTATCCAAAGAAATTATCCAAAGCATATTTTCTCCAAAATGTCTTCAGAATTCTTGATGTTGCCTGAGTTACTGTTTATTGGCATGCTTATAAATTTCATAATGGACTCATGCATATTTCGTCTATGCTTAATCAATTAACCTCTCTTCCTTTGTCCTACTCAGACATGTGGGCAAAGTAAGACTGTAATTTAATTATCTCTTCTCCCTTTTCTCTTTAGAGGAAAAGAACCAAATTCATTGCCTGTGATTTCCTTACTGAGTGGTTATACAAGTAAGTTGTTCATGTCTTCAAATATTCAATGACCCTGAAGATTTAATCATGTGAATTTGCAAGCAGAATAGCAACCATTGACTTGAATTCTTGCTTTTTGTTTTCTTGTCCATCAAACATATGGCACTGTCTCCAGCCAAAATCCAAAGAGGACAGGGGCACCGTTCACAGAATTTTTCTCTATTCCATTTGTGGATGCATGGCTAAAAGATCAGTAAGTTCAAATAATTTATTCATAATTTCAAGTTTATATCAATGAGAACTAAAGCATGTGATTCACCCAGACCCTCCAATTCTATTCATGTCTCTTGATTATTTTTAGTCCAGGCYAAGTTCATCCTGTCCATGCAGTGATTTCATTCCAGAAATGCTTCAGAAATAAAATAGAAAACAAACTCTTACCCTAAATAATTTATCTCCCACACCCCTTTTGAGATAGGGTTTATCTTACAGTGTGGCCCAGGCTGGTCTAAAACTTGTGGGCTCAATAATCCTTCTGCCTCAGCCTCCCTTCCRCTCTCTTTGAAGGTCATTATATCTCAGGAAATAAGAGTAACCTTTTCTATTAATTTTTAGCTATATTCATCAATTTTTCATTTATAATATGAGAATGTGACAGATAAAGTTAAAACACTTTTTGACCATTCTAAACTAGATCTTCTTCCCTCTCTGAGGTAATCAGTTAAGTCTATAGCACATCCTTCCAGAGCTCTTCACATTAGTTATTTCATTAGATAAAATTAGTTTATATTATATAAAATTAGTATAGTTTATTGTGAGCTGTTTTTCTCAGTGATATAAAAATGATAATGCTGATACCAACTATCATTAGTTSAGAGCCTGTATCACTTAATACCAATGAACCAATTTGATATCCCCATAATGGTGCATTACCAACTCAATTTTGCAGATGAGGAAATTTATGCATTATTATATGACTTGCTTTTATTTGACCCCAAAATGTACTTTTGAAATATAAATGATTCAATTGCATTTAATCCATGTCTTTTGATGGCTTTACATAGTATATTTCATTTCTAGATTTGCATAATTTATTCACTCATATGAGAAATATGTATTGAGTTCTGCTATGTGCTAAAGAGCATTCTAGGTGGTGGAGACAGAACAGTGCACAAGTAGGCCAAAATTCCAGTCTTCACGGAATTTWTGTTCTAGCAAGGAAAATAATAAGCAAATGCTTCAGTACTGTGAGGGATGAAGCAGAGGGAATATGGAGTCCAAGGAGGTTCAGTTTACATTGGGTGGTCGGGAAGGATTTCACCCGAGATGACATTCAAGCTGTGTTTTACTATTTAAAGTATTCGATGCAAGAAAAGACACCTCAATTTAGAAAACAAAATAGATTTCATCTGTTGCTTTAAAATGTTTCCATGTCGACCCTTTGCAAGAACAATGTCAGGAAATTGAGGCACAAGTAAATCAAGTGAGGCTTGCCAAGTCACATTTTTAAAAAAATATTTATTTATTTACTTATTTTTAGTTTTTTAGATGGATACAATATATTTTATTTTTATGTGGTAGGTGAGCACTCTACCACTTGAGCCACAACCCCAGCCCCCCACAAGTCACATTTTAAACAGAGTGGGACACTTTAAATGAGACTCTTAGCACTAAGTGTCACATCTTCTACCTAAATCTGCTCTCCTTAAGAATTTCAAGTTGAATAAACTCTTGGCTGACTTTCTCAATATTGAGATCTTTTTTAAAGAGCCCAGATATTACCAGGTTGTTTTTTTTTTTTTTTTTAACTGAGACTACACATTGAAAGGAGAGCAATATTGGAAAATTGTGTTTCTTATTCATCTTCTACATCTGTGCCTAATTTTATCCCATGAAGTGGAAGGCTCACAATTCATTGCTTTGCATCTATTTTTCTAAGACAAAGTGTTTTCAGTACCATTCTCCAAATTGCTTCTTTTTTAAAAAAATGAACCATTTTCCTTCCCATTGGTAATAACCAATGAAAAAGAATCTTAAAAATAAAATTGAAATGAGTGACCCCTTGATCCCTCATCATTTGCTGCACAAGGATCTCTATTTAAATGGCGGCTGAGGTCCACCAGCAGCTCCTGTAAACACACTGAAGTGGCAGCATCAGCCACGTCAGCTGGACTCCGCAGAACAGAAACACAAGAGCTCTGGCTTTGACTGGCCTTTATATTCTGTGTTTTCATTGTCTTTCAAAGAGATGCCCAGAAGCATGATAAAAATTAAAATGAATCTAATTCATTTCATGGAATGAGTATCTGCTGAACACCTACCCACCGCTGCACACAGAGCTTGGTGCTGTGGGAAAAAAACAGAGATAAATAAATTATGGCTCCAGTCCTCGGGGTGAGAGAGCTGTGTTTACAACTAGTTGTAGTTTCTGTAGTGAGTGTTGTCGTTCAGATGCTAACAAAGTACTAAGGGGAAATGGGAAGCACAAGATCTTACAAGTCCTGGTCAGCGGGCCTGGAGCCAAGCCCAGCTAGGACAGTGGCCAAATTGGTTGGTGCCCAGATTTGGTTTTTCGAGGTAAGAACTCAGGTGTTATATTCTTCTCAAGGGTTCTCCTGAGCAGGAGAGGTCAGAGAAGTAGGAACTAAAGGGTGGAGCCAGGTTTTCCCAACCTTGGACTCTGGACGTGGGGGTCTGGATGATTCTTTGTTGTGGGCAACTGGCCTGTACATTGTAGGAGGGTTAGCAGCAGCACTGACCTCTACCCGTTAGACACCAGTACCAACCTGTACAATTGTGACAACCAAGAATGTCTACAGACACCGGCACACACCCCAGGGTTGGGGGTAAAGAAAACTGCCCCTGGTTGAGATCCTCTGATCTAATCCAGTAGTTTTCTACCTTGGCCTATACTTTAAAATCATCTGGGGAACTTTGGAAAAATATTGGTATCTGGCTTCATTCTGATCTGTAAGATCAGAATCTGCAGGTATAGTCTGGGTGGCCTTTGTTCTGTTTTTAAAAGCTTCCTAGGTGATTTTAAAGTACAGTCATGACTGAATTCTCATCCACAGGTGACTGAATTCTCATCCACAGGTGACTGAATTCTCATCCACAGGTGTGCGTGTCTAGGAGATAATTTATAGTATATTGAGCTGTTTCTCTGTTAACTGCTTCTGTGAAATTTATTTATTTTATTTTATTTTTGGTGCTGGGGATCGAACCCAGGGCCTTGTGCATTTGAGGCAAGCACTCTACCAACTGAGCTATATCCCCAGCCCTGCTCTTACGAATATTGCTTAATCTTCACAGCAGCACTTGGATGTAGATACTGAAGCTGAGGGCCTAGAGATGGGAGATTGCCAGTGAGATGAGCTGGTCTTGGGCAACCGTTGTTACAGGGGGCAGGAGCAGATGGATGGGCATTTGGAACAGGACTTCATAACACACCTTGGAAAAAGATGAATTTCGTGAGAGGAAGACTGTCAAGGGTTTTTAAAGGAAGCAAATTATAAAGCAGCACTTCAGGTATCATTGGATTGGGTTAAGAACTTGAGTTTTGGGGAGAACCAGTTCTGAAGTCTCTACCCCACCATTTACTGATCATATGACGGGGAAAATGTTTTCTATGTTTATTATTGTGTAACAAATTGCCCCCAAACTTAGTGATGTCAACATTAAATATCTGCTGTTACAGTTTCTGTGAGTCAGGAATTTGTCCGCAGCTGGGCTGGGTGGTTCAGAGTCTCCCATGGGGTTGCAGTCTGCAGTCATCCAGAGGTTGGACTAGGGGTCCTGCTCTCAAGATGGCTCATGCACACGGGACCTCAGTTTTTCCCCACATGGGCCTTTCCTTAGGCTGTTTGAGTATCCTCGGTGCTTGGCAACTGGCCTCCTTTGGAATTGAAGACCCGAGTACAAGGAGGAAGGCATAGTGCTTTTATGACCTTGTCTTAGAAGTCAAACCTCCATTTCCGTCACATTCTTTAGAARCAAGTCAGTTGGTCAAAGGGAGAATGATTAGGCTCCACCTGATGAATGGAGGAGTTAAAGAAGGCATGGATATACTTAATGTCCACTGCAGAAGGTCCCTCTCTAAGCTTCCATTTCTCCATGGTAAATGTGATGGTGAAGATGCTGTGGATGTTACAATACAAATGGKGGTCATAAACCAGGTGCAGTGGTGCAAGCCTGTAATCCCAGCAGATTGGTAGACTGAGGCAGGATTGTGAGTTCAAAGCCAGCCTCAGCAAAAGCGAGGCGCTGAGCAACTCAGTGAGATCCTGTCTCTAAATAAAATACAGAATAGGACTGGGGATGTGGCTCATGGACGAGGGCCCCTGAGTTCAATCCCTGGCACCCCCTGGCAAAAAAAAAGGGGGTCACAAGCAGCTCCAGTCTGCAGCAATGCTTGGCTTACTGCAGATGCTCCTCAATTCATGATGGGGCTGGCTCCAGTAGTCCCGTTGCATCTTGAAAATATCATAAGTAAAATGTGCACTTAAAACAGCCCTCGAGGCTTAGCAATAGAACACTGGAAAGGGCCGTGAGTTTCTCTTTGTGATCTGGTGGCCGACTCGGAGCTTCGGCCCACTGTCACTCCCTGGCACAGTGAGAATATCGTCATGCTGCTTGTTGCTAGCCTTTAGAATCAGAAGATCAGGATTCTAAATCTGAAGGATGGTTGCTACGGAACGTGTAATACTTTCCCACCATCACCGAAGCCAAGATCCGGGCCGGAAAAGCAGTTTCAGGGATAAAGATGATGGTTCCTGTCTGGACACAGGGAGAGGGAGGTGCCTGTAGGATGTCGTTCTGGAACATTGGTCTGATCATCCAGAGAAACGCTGATTTGGTCATGAAAATCCCTGTGACAAATGTATGGATTAACCTGAGATGGACAAGGACTGAACTTCAGAGTACCCCAGAGAAGGTTCCAGAAGTTCATGACTGAGTCACATGGTTGGTTGGCTGTGGTGACCATGGCTTGGTGTTGTGTTTTTTACAGAAGCCATTGTGTCAGTGACAGAGTCTGTGTTGATTTGAGGTGACTGGAGGGAGGCAGAGGGCTAGATTCACATTCATTTTTTTTCTTTTTAATCATTGCATTARTTTTCTATTGCTGCTCTAACAATCCACCACAAACTTGGTAGCTTTAAACCAACCTAGATTTATTATCATCCAGTTCTGGAGGTTAGATCCCAACACGGGTCCAACCCAGCTAAGATCAAAATGCATTCTTTTATGGAGCTC